TATATATATTATTTATGATATAAATAGATGTTATAGGGTTATAAGTAGCATCATAAAAACACTAATTTGGCATATAAAAAACCAGTATATTGACCAAAAAGACTATAAATAAATGAAGTAACCGAAATTATTTAATTATATGTTCACTTAATGTAGCATAATCATATCTTATTTAAGTTTGATATAAATAGACAGAAAGGAGCTCAATTTTAGCAGGATTCATCAACTTCAAAAGATGCATCTTTGTCAAACTGTAGAGAGCCATGGGGAATCGGGCTTTTATTGATAAAGGGAGAGACGTATACTATAACCAATGGAGAAGTAAAGCCTCCAAATTTGAAATATCTAACAATTAATCCAGAAAAGGAGTTGGCACTCACAACAAAGACAATCATTTGAGAAACAAAAAAATTGTTTCATTGGAAAAGTTATATTTGGGTAATTAATGATGGATTTTTATTTCTATTAAATTGATTAGAAAATGATTGATGGGATCAATGATGGATTTTCTAATCATTAATGATGGATTTTCTAATCATTTGAAATTATGGTTTTATAATTCTTCCATTAAAGGTACTTAAATTGCACTGATCCCATCAATCATTTTCTAATCAATTTAATAGAAATAAAAATCCATCATTAATTACCCAAATATAACTTTTCCAATGAAACAATTTTTTTGTTTCTCAAATGATTGTCTTTGTTGTGAGTGCCAACTCCTTTTCAAATCAATTGTAACTGACGACATTAATTTAGCAAGCAACATAGGCATTCACGTGCAGCCAATATAAATAAATTGTAACATACGTTGAGGCAACATACGTTGAGATAACTATTAATTCAGCAAGTGTTAACGCCAATATAAATAAATTGTAACATATGACATCAATTGTAACATACGTTGAGGCAACATACGTTGAGGTAACTATTAATTCAGCAAGCGTTAACTATAAATAAATTGTAACATAATTATGCATGTATCAATTAAAACGTCATTAAGTGTTAACTATAAATATACATAGTTATGGTTTATGCATGTATCTACATGTTTTATTATGTATGTGTTATGTTTTGTATGTATGCGTTTTAACATAAATTTGTATGTTTTATGTATGTGTTATGTTATGTATGTATATGGTTTAGCATAAATTTGAGGGCACTTTGGGAAGAAATGTTTTAACATACCAAGACACTTTTATAATAGTATTAGATTAGATAAAAGAAAAGAGAATTAAAAAGTCGTGTCCCTCCCTTGTGGGGACTCTAGATTCGATTTCCATGTGTGCCAAAGGTGCAATTGTTATGGTTATTGGTGTTGTTGTTATGTGTGCCAAATGTGTATTTTCGTAAAAATAAAAAAAATGTGTGTATCAGATTTTTTTATCATAGATAATTAAAGAGAATTAAAAATATTTTTTTAATTTTTTAAATTATGGATGATTATGATTTGATTAAGATTACCAAATATTTGATTATAATTAGAATTTTTTAATTTTGGATAGATTTCATTTGATGCGGATTCTAATTATGGATAGAAAATACCCATCATATAAGAATTCTAATTTAATATTAAAATAATATATGACATGTGTCATTGATTAAGATTGCCAAATATTTAATTATAATTAGAAAATGTTTAATTTTTGATAGATTTATTTTGATGAGAACTGTAATAATGGGTAGAAAATAACCATGATATAAGAATTCTTCTAATTTAATATTAAAATAATATTGACACATCTTTTTTTTGTGTTTAGGTGGAACTGTTCGGTGCCTTTAAGAGTACCACCAATTTTTTATTATACTAGTTTGATTGCACGTGCAATGCACGTGGCAAAATTTTTATTATTTAAACTTTTTTTTATTATTATCATTTCAAGAGAAAAAATTACACATGTGATGATGACAAGCGGGCAACAAGCTATGCCGCTTTATAATTTTATTAAGTGAAAGATTTGTTATTATATTATTGAATGTGAGCAATGGATCAAACATATAGACATTAAACATTTGAACAATGAAATTACATTTATTAATTGATTGAGCGATACAACAAATGGTTGCATCTATAACTTGATCGATCAATCAAATAACGTCACAAGAATATATATATATAATAGTATTGTTTGATGATGTGGATGTAAAACTAAGCTCATGGCATTAGAAGCTTGACTAAGCCTTTGCGATACCTAACGTGTGAGTACATATATGCACACATGAAAATTTCACAATCCCATATAAATTAAAACACTCATTGAACTTTGTTCTTCTCTTTAAATATCACTTGTCATCTTTAGCATTCTCAATTTTAAACCGCCACACTTTATGCTGAAGATCCACAAGAGAATCACTTGCTAGATTTGCCTCTGAACTCTTTTTTGAGTCAACAAACTATAGTTCTAATCTGTATAAAGCACGGACATACATATATCATTGTCATCCTCACCTTAATAGTCTTATCATCACCACATGTGATAATAGACAATCTCTTATTGGGATGCAAAAATGCAATGTCAAGCTCTTATTGGGTTGCGAAAGTGCAACATCATTGACACACCCACATGAGCATCAATTTATGCAGACGGAACATGTGAGTGAGTGATATATGGTTGCCTACACACATCAAAATTACAACTCAGCTCCAATTGTTGCCTGAGGTCTCCATTAGGAATATAAGCATACGTCTATATGAGATGTTTAGAGAATGCAATACCTAGGAGAGAGCAGAGCAAAAGTTATCAGTGAGAAAAATCTCGTTTCATTAATTCCCCCCACAACGAAAGAAGGAATACATCTATAAATGGAACATCATTAAATAAGAAAAACATTTGAATTAATCCAATACCAATAACACCACCATTAAGGCTCCATAAACAACAATTGACATATATTGTTGCATCTTTCATCAAGGCTGCCTAAAATTGGCGCACGTTATATTGAGGAATAGATTGAGATGAGAAAATCCAAAAATCCAACAAAACGCACATGAATTGGAACTATAATGGCATCATGTTATGAAGTTTTGTTTGGAAAGGTAGAGTTGAAGTAGATACGTGTAGAGGCACTGAACAATTCTGGACATTCCAGACCTTAAATTTCTTGTGTGCTATCCTTTCTAGTGTACTCAGTACTATGTAAACTAAATTGGAATGGAGTAGGTAAGTAAATAAGATATGTTTCTGTAAGTGCTAGCGAATGGTTTTCTAGCTTGATCACCATGGCTGATACAGCAATCTAAGTGGAAGTACCTTGCTAGATCAAAGAAAGATAAAACTACATTCAATGTGGAAATCATCCAAGTTATATGGAAGAAATCTAAGAACGAAATAAGAGTTGGTCACAATGAGATCTCTTTGATTTTAAATTGTAATTAAAAATTCAAATTGAATGTTTCAAGACTGGGTTTAACGAGATTTTTACCAATAGTTGACACCATTTTTCGTGGTAAAAGAAATTATGACAATTTTCTGCAGACCTCAGTTTTTGGTTGCATGTAAAATCTACAGATTTCTTTCTTTTATGGAATATTTACTGAGGCTAGGATGAACATATCTTTCTTCATATAACATATCAAAAAAATTGTATTATCTTGTTAATATTTATATCTCCTTGCAAGAGGAGTAGCAGACTGCATGCAAAGGAACATAGTTTCTACACTCTAGTTATTATTTCTGTTTTGAGATAGAAACCAGCATGCCATAACTCACCCCATATAGTGTAAACAATAAGGATGAAGTTTACAGATAAATGCTTTAAAAAAAAAATTTGGCTGTAGATCCTCGGAACTAATGCAGGAGGAACTAAAGAGATCGTAGATCACAGAGTAACTGGTCTTCTACATCCTGTAGGTCACGAAGGAACTCAGGTGCTTGCACAACACATTCAATATCTTCTAAGCAACCCGTCTGTAAGGAAAAAGATGGTAGCAAACGGGAGAAGAAAAGTGTAGGAATAAGTACTTGAAGAATCAGACCTATGAGAGCCTTGCCAAGGTCTTTTTCATGTGCATGAAGCCTAAAGCTTGATGCAATTATATTAACCGATGGGATTTCTATTGGCTGATGCATAGGATTTTTACAAATTTTATCGGCCAAAGAGGGTTAGAATTATACTCTCTGCACTAAATGTTGTATTGATATCTCCCTGTGAACTAAGATTAGTTTCCCAGATAAGGTAATAGGAATCATATTGCCATTTAGAGTTTTAAAAGATGGAAAATCTGGTCGTATTAAGATTAGAGTTCTAAAAGATGGAAAACCTGGTCATATTAAGTGATACTTTATATGATTTTCAGACTGGAATTTGATTTAGTAATTCTAACCGTATTACAGTTTTTTATACTACTTTGGTGTAGGAATTATAAGATTCAAGTATCTTCCAAACGTAAAAAAGATATGACCTCAGGTTGTGTAATTCATGAGAAAGGAGTTGCTATATTGTGTTTTAATAATATCAAAGTAGCACACAAAGTGTATATTAATTAATAGTATATTGTGCTCTCTAAAAGAAATGTTTGATGTTGTTGATGGAAATCCAAGCTCATGCATTGGGTATGGATGGATTGGCGCTTGTCATCCAACCTGCAATGCACTTGCTGATGGAGAAATAACATGCTAAAATGGCTTAATGGACGAAATTCATAAATTAAGAATCAAAGATTTTTAAACCTTAGAGAGGATATGGAAAAGCAAGATATATTTCACAATCGTGGTACTCCTCACTTACGCTATTAGTACGTAGAGGAAGAAATGGCCCAGACTTAGGAATTGGCCATACAAGGGTACCATTGGTTGATGGCGGCGGCCTTGCACCATTAGTAGGAGCACATGTGTGATTCGTAGGTGTTTTAATGTCAGGTTTGGGTCGAGGGTTCTGGCAAAGCTGATGTTGCCAATTAAGACTAAAAGCAATACACATATAATAAGCATAGTAATTAATTAGCTAATACAAGTTCATGAAATAAGTAAGTAAATAGATAAAAAGGTGTCAGGTATTTTAGCCTTGCCTGGATAAACCAATTGCATCTTCTCTCTCCAAAACTGCACATTTCAAATGAGAGAACAAAACTGATGATCTAATACTTTCATTTCAACTAAAAAGAAAATGCAAGGAGAAGAAAAATAAAATCTCATAAAAGGTTTACACACTATATCATGGAACTCTAGCTGAATGTGTGTCACATTAGTCTGATAAAAGGTTTACACACTATATCATGGAACTCTAGCTGAATGTGTGTCACATTAGTCTGATGAATGTCATTGCCATCGGTTCCTCTTTTTTATAGTAGTTTTTCCGAATCCAATGAGACCACAGAACAAACTTAAGTAAGATTAAGAAATTGGAAAAGTCAAAAAGCAACTAAAGGTAAGCATTTTACATTTTTACTCTAATTGTTGGAACTGAATGGCCTACAACAAATGGACTTTGGTAAGATTAAGATATGGGAAAAGCACCTAGAGATAAGCACTTTATACTCAATGATGAAACTGAATGGCATGTATGTTTACTGAATTGTGAGTCAAGAAAACATTCTTGAATTCACAACAATAGCATTATTTATTAATGTATGTTCTGAAGAGTACTGGATGATGGCTGTTCAATAATTTTTGGAACCATTCATTACAAATGAAGCTTCCAATTATTTAAACAGTTGGTATATGCTCAATATTATTATGACCAAGAAAATCAATTTGAACATATTTTCAAAACGATAGTATTGTTGATAGGATATGCACATTAACAAAGAATTGTCAATTATCACAAGTGACTTGGATAGAAAGATTCTCAGAGCTAGCATCCATAAAGTCATAAGTGTAATTTTATCTAACAATTTGGAGTTAAGTACTATCCTTCAAGAAAATTTATATCAATTTCAATAGAATCAATTTGAACTTCACATACCTTAAGAGCATGTGAAAAGCCAGATTGGTAAACTGAATTCGTAGCAATCTCACATATATCACATGCACTCACCTTCCAAAGCTGTTAAAAGAAAAGAAAATTTTAACATCTCACAGGTACAATATAAAGAAGAATCATGAGAAGGAGCTTTATCGAAGCTGCAATGTTGTATTCCTCCACCAATGGTTCTTTAGTAAAATGGATTTGTGCAATGAGTTATTTGTTGACAAAGAAACATAAAGGCCCCATAAGAAAAACATTGGAAAAGTTTTTTTAATGATAATACAAAAATAAGGAATTGTTGCTCAATGGAGACATTGCGAGGTAATCTAGGCAATCAAAAAATGACCATTAGTTTTACTTTTGAAAGACCTAAGCGTACAGTAGTACAACATTTTCAAACAAACCGCATCCCACATGCAAAATTTATGGAAATAATAACCTTAAACATTTACAAAACAAAATGCTAATCAGAGCAAAGCATGTATAAATAGTGAAACAGTCCAACTAAGGTAAACTGATAGCAAGAGATGCATAAATTTACACGCTCTAAATAGAATACACTATGAATGAATAGATTTGACAATTGTTCTCATAACAGGTACAAGTACAAAAGAATTGACATGGATTTAGAAAACTATGGTTTGATTTCAATTTAGGTTGTGAGCATCCATTGTCAACGAATGTCAAAATACACACACTTTCGTGCCTTCTTATTTTTATATGTTAGATATTTTTCTCAATTTGATTAAAAATATTCACCCCGTTCAAAAAAGGTAGAGTAAATGTTGTTGTAATTTTCACCATTTAACTAATTTTGAAATGGCAAAAGCGATCTATTTTCATACAGTACTTCATGCTCATTGCTCATGTGATGGCACATAACCCATACAGGTAAGACAAAGTATCTCTTTTCCCTTCGCCAATCTTCTGAATTGGCAGCTAGTAGACAGTGAGTTGCTTATAAATGTTTAACTGATTGAGTAGAAGTAGCAAATAATTTACCTAAGAAACAACTGACATCACATCCCCCTGCCCTTGCGAGTTATTTCTGGGTGCAGGTGTTGGTGATGATCCAAACCCCACGTATTTACCTCCTTGAGATGGTGGAAGCCCTTCAGGACTCGAATCATTCTCTTGCATTTTTCTCGCAAAGAAGCTCTCCTTATTAGCAGCTGATGCCTCATATTGTGATCTCGTATAAATATCTTTAGTTGATTTTCGATCTCAATGTCTGCCATCCTCTCATTCCACTTGCATTACCCGCTCTAAAATCCCCTGCCGATTGCTTCCTCCACAATCTCCATAGACACCTTCCAAGTCAAGAAGAAAAGAATTAATCTTTCATAAACGAACATATTGGCATATGACACACAATGCAATTAATACAAATATAATAGGTTGCACTCTTACAAAAGAATTGTTAAAGCTAAAATAATTAAGGTTGGATTAAACATAAGGATGTTTTGGCATCCAAGGTTTGCAAGTATAGGGCCATGTATCATCGGGATTCGAGTTGTATGATCCAGATCAGAACATTATGATAAAAAAATGTATCTTATGTTTACCAGCCCTATTTGAATAAGTGGGGCATTGAGCTTATGAGGAATTTATTTCAACTTCCAAGTAGGGATATATTAGATTCCAATAACACAACCTATATGTTAGATCAAAGTATACTTTATGCATATGTTAGCTCAAAGTATGCTTTATGATCCCTTCTAGAAGAAAACATGGAACTCCTTACACCAGAAGAAAAAGAAAACATCAACATGACCAATCAAGAGTGCATAGTTAACACTAAACTGAAAACAACTTTGTAATAAACAAAATTCCAACAAGCTAAAAATGCAGAAGAACAAGTATTATGAGTAGATAAGTTGAGGACCTACCGGTTGTGGATAGATATCACAAATATTCAAGATTCCCAGAAGTCAATAGATTTTGCAGGTCTTTATGCAAACAAAGCAACTGCAAGAGAAATTTCACACAAACATGAAAAATGTGGTGTTAGCTTAATGGCCTCCTGATAGAGTAAGTCCAATAATATACAATGAGCTGTCTGAAATCAAATTGTGAAGAAGATTTTGGTGAACTTACAGGATCACCAATGCCTGCAATAGGAGGAATGAAGATGAGAAGATGAGTTGCATTTTGCAAGGTAGGAATACTTTCCAATCTAAAAAGGCATTACAAAAAATGAATTACAAAAGTTTTAGACGTCCAGTTTGAAATTTGACTTCCCTCGGTGGCGAGAAGCTAAATAAGGAAATGAGTCAAACGGTACTATAAAGTGTTAGAAGCTCCTTGTCTGCCAAGAAGCACATGTATGGGTGCCCATGCAAACATTATCAATGTAGGAAAAATGAAGTAATAAAAAAAGAGATTGTACTATATACACATGCAGTTCATCCATTAATGTACATGGAATAAAGGTAAATATACTATGTCATTACAAGATAAAAATCATCCAGTTTCAAAGTGCATCCAAACATATTGTGTGAAGACATTATTGAGTTGTAAAGCTAAAACCAGAAGTTTAGCAGAGTTCAACAGAAGTTAAAATTATGATAGTTGAGAGATAACTAATGAAAATAATGTGATTATGTGGTGAAGATATTTAGTAACTTGTAAAGCACAAACCAGAACATCAACAGAGTTCAACAGAAGATGAAAATTCAAATAGTTTAGAAACAATTAAAATGAAAACAATATGAACAAAAAAAGAATCCATCATAGAAATAACTGGATCTAAAATATAGAGGGAGTAACATGAAAAAAAGAAGGTTAAGATCTCTATACATTTTTTGATGGTCTCGATCTCATTGCCGCTGCGCCTGGCGGCGTTGACGGCCTTTTCGTCCTTCTTGGTGGCGGCGTTGGGGGCTTTCTTGCGGCGTTGGTGAAGATATTTAGTAACTTGTAAAGCACAAACCAGAACATCAGCAGAGTTCAACAGAAGATAAAAATTTAAATAGTTTAGAAACAATTAAAATGAAAATAATATGAACAAAAAAGAATCCATCATGTAGGATCACACGTTATTTAATCTCCAATAAGAAACAATAGAAGGAAATATAAATGCATAATTCACTTGTACACATAATCTCCAGTAAGAAACAATTAATCTCGCAAATCAAAGTGATATTTCTGCTTACTGATTCTTACCATTTGACCTCAGTAGTTAAACCTCCAACAAAAAAGAAAAAAAATCATATTGAACTTATTTGCAGTTCATAATAGAAATAACTGAATCTAAAATATAGAGGAAGTAGCATGAAAAAAAAGAAGGTTAAGATCTCTATACATTTTCTGATGGCCTCGATCTCATCGCCGCTGCGCCTGGCGGCGTTGACAGCCTTCTCGTCCTTCTTGACGGCGGCGTTGGGGGCTTTCTTGCGGACCACCACCGGTTTCCAGTCCTGAGAGATCGGCCCTACTCCAGCCATGATTACTTCTTATCGAAGGTGATACGATCACCGGCAACGGATTTTTAACGGAGATGAAGAGAAAGAGCGAATGATATGATCTTTTAAATGAACGAAGAGTTAGGGTTTTACGGCTTCTAATTTGTGAGTAACGGAGAAAATGGACCTTTCTTAAGTTAATGAAACGAAATATGAGGATAACTTTGTTATATTTAGAATAGTTGAAGGGTAATTTGGGATAAGAGAAGTTTTTCTAGTACTCCCTCTTTTAAAGGGTAGATAGATATAAAGGAGAAATAAAGAGGGATATGAATGGATAATTGCATAAATAAACTTCCTAATAGACTATTTATTCAACATTTACGGCATCATATAACGTAAGGACGTAACAAATTTGGATTTTAGGTTGATTGTTGCTAGGAAGTGTAATTATGAATTCGTCATCAGAAATTATTTTATGTTGCACATTTTTAGCGCTTCATTTCCTTGGAGTTATTTGTTTTTTTGCCTTGTTCAGTAATTTGAACCGTGTTAATCTTACCATTAGCAAACAACTGTTCCTCATTTGGAGCCTTCTTAACGGGGGAGGTTATCTTATAAATATTTGTATCATGTGCATGTGATGCGTGCATGGACGAAAATGCAGGGAGTGTATTGTAATCAAATTAATTGTTATGAAAACATATAATTTAAGTATAGCAAAAAAAAGTTAATTTTTTTTAAACTACTAGTGTAGCATGCAAGTTTTCCCTTAATCGATATACAATTAGTGAATAGAAGTTCTCATGGATATTCTAAATTAACCAGATGAAAAAGATATTATTTTTAAATTTTCCCACTAGTTTCAGTTCAATAAGACAATGAATTATATAAGAATATATAAATATGATAAGGTAAACATTTCTGGTAAACCTTTCTTAGAGAATATTTCAAGAAGACAATAATTAGTTTAGGTCATGGACCGATTTGGACTTATTAGTTTGCATAAAAGTAATTATAAATAGTCAAAGGAAAGAAAGTAGATAACCTTTTTGCTACTTATGACAGGGCCTGTTTGTTTCGCAAAAAAAGACCGAAAGTGGGGAAAAGTGGGGGAAAAGAAGGTGAATTTTGATGTTTTCCTCCACTTTCAGAGGTTTGGTTCGTCAAAACTATAACCGAAAGTGGGGGAGAAAATGAGTTGTCACCATATTATTGGTTGATGTGAGTAATTTTTGATGTTTTCCTCCACTTTCCTTGTTTATGTTCTTTTCTTGTGTTTGGTTCATTCTTAAAAGTGGGGGAAAATAGATAAGATGAGATGAGTTGTCATTATATTATTGGATGATGTGACACATACTTAGGAAAATCAATTTCCTTGTTTTTTTGGAGGAAAGTAATGGAAGGAAATTTTAATGAGATGTGATGAGTTGTCATCATATTATTGGATAATGTGAGTAATTTTTAAAGATGATAGAAAATGAAGAAAAGTAGGGGAAAGTGAGTTAGATGAGTTGATTGATGTGACTCATTTCTTGTGTTTTGTTTATTTTTAAAAGTGTGAAATGAGATGTGATGGGATGAGTTGTCACAATATTATTGGAGGAAAATGGAGAAAGTGAAGGAAAGTGGGTTTTGGAAAGTGGGGGAAAGTGAAAAAGTAAAGGAAAGTGGGTTTTGGATTCTGGGGGAAACTAAACAAACAGCCCCTCAGAGAAGAAAGCATTTTTTTCTCAGAGAAACCAACTTTCACATTTTTATTTATTAGAAAAAAATCTACTTTTAGTACTTCCTTCAATGTTGATGTGATTGCGTGTCATCCCTATTTCTAATTTTCTCATGCCCTAAGGCATAGCAGTATATGCATGAATTAAGCGACAATAATAATTTTTTAACATTTCTTTTAATAGTTACTTGCTAACAATTTTTCAATGCTATCCAAACAAAAGAAGTGACGGAAAAGTATGAAATATGAGTCCACAATCTCTGCAATCTTAGTTATAGAGAATGTCTATAATTAGTTATATAGGCTAATACTATCAGTTTATCTCAGTTAGTCCCACATTAATTTTTTGACAAAATTTAGATAAATACAACTATTTATTGGGAATTTGAGATCCATTATCCATAGATTGAGGAGATTTAATTGGTGAGAAGTAAAAATTCTCTACACCTAAAGATGAAGAGATCTCCACCCATAAAATAATATTTCCACATATTCATAAAAAATACGTGAAACAAGCAAAAAATATTACTTACATAACTTCCTATTTCCTATGTCATCATTTTAGAAGTTGAAAAAAGGGGAGAAAAAAAGAAGAAGCTACTTGTTTGCTTTACTTTCCAATTTTTACGCTTACTGCGGGCAAACAAAGGTGATCTTTGTTCTTTAGGGAGAGTTGTCAAATTGGGCCCTTAATAAATAAGACAAAATGTGAAACAAAAATCCACTTTAATAGAAAACTTGAAGTTGACGTCAAAGAACCGTTCCAACTACCAGCGTCATCCCGCCATCCCCAACCTTTAAATATGCACTCATCGCATACCATCCCTCCACGCCATTACTTAACTAAACAATACCTCTCAGTAACGCACCACACTCACACAAGCAATAACAAACGCCGCTCTTCCAGTTCTAAAAGCCACACGTTAATGCCAAAACCGTCCCAAAACGCAACTTACCCTTTCCCTCCCCCTCTCTGACTTTTTCTCCTCCTCTCTCCAGTTATCAGGTCACAGCACAAAGCCGGCAACCAATCTTTCAATCAATTTAAGAGAAAGAAAACCCTAAAACCTCCAAACTTTCTACCAATGTCTCGAATGGCATTCGGCGGCAAGGACACGTGTCGCTTTCTAACCTCCACCATCAGCAGCTTCATCCAAGATCGCCTCCTCGACCGCGACGGACGCCTCGAGCACAAAGACCAATGCTTGGAGCGCCTCGCCGCCGACAGCCGGAAACTCGGGCAGGCACGCGCCAGCCTCCGAGCGCCAAATACTCTGCTCCGATGCCGGCCGTCCTTGCGAACCTCGATTGGGGAATCGACGCTCTCGAGGACGCCATCGCCACCTCGAATCTCGAAACCAAGCTGGCTCGCCTCGACCACGCCGAGCGCATGCTCCAGATCTGCGCTATGCTCGATCCTTCTCAGTTCACCGCCGGAGTCCCCAATTCTTATCTTTCCGCTTGGGCGCATCTTAACCTAGCTTATTTGTACAAGCTTCGAGATAATTCAAGTCGTGATTGTGTTGTTAATGTTCTTCAGATGTTTAGCGTTGATCCGTTCTTTTCGAGGATCGATTTCGCGCCTGAGCTCTGGGAGTCTCTGTTTCTTCCTCATATGAGCTCGATTGTTGGCTGGTACACCGAATCGAGGCATAGAATTGTTATGGAGACGATTCCGGATCCTTCGGATTTGTCGATTACGGTCGATTTTGATGATGATTTGTTTAATGAGTCGTTGATTTTGTCGGTGAGGCCGGATCAGGGTGAGAAGCTGAGGGAGCTGGAGAGGGAGTACGCGGAGGCGCTGGATCACAATACGAGATTGTACGCGAAGTATTACAAGGAGGTTTTGGCGGGAGGTAATTCGCCGGCT